CCACATTTATAAAAACCATTTTTTCCTATCAGGAAGTGATTGCTTTTTTCCGGTTTATTATAACTATGTACTAATTTGTTTCTTAATGTTGGTGCACCTCTGAACAGTATTAATGTTGGTGCACCTCTGAACACTATCATGCCTATATATGTTTCAAATTTTAACATATATCAGTATTGATCCTGATGAAAGTCCTAGCTACAGGATTAAAGCGTTGACCGTGATTTTATAGATTTGAAATAATCTGCTACCTCTTTGGATGTATATATATATATATATAAACAAATAAAAAAATTCAAAAAGGGCGTGGCCTGACTCCGTATGTAGACGGACGTGTCCCAGCTCAGCTCCCGCTCGACCGTGCAGTATTTGCCGCCAAGCACGAAATTCTCTGAGCGATGGGCAATAAAAAGAAGTCCTCAACGTCCCAGGACACCCAGGCTCCGGTACCGGGGAAAAAAACAGGAGAACTGGAGCGGTTTTTCCGAGAAAGGGGAGAGGGCCGGGGGAGGTTGAAATGGCGGCGCCGCCATCTACCTCGCCGCCATCATCACCACGTGGTTCATCCCCGTCTAGCCCAGCAAGCTCAGACTCCCCAGACCTCCCTGCACAGCCAACATTGCAAGATCTTATTCTAAGGAGGATATAGCCTCAATGCTGCTGAAGCTAGAGGCCTCTATGTAGGAACGGCTGAACTCCATCACTACAGAGGTACGGCAGATGGGGCAATGTGTGGAAGTGCTGGAGGGAGAGAGGGACACCATACACAACAGGTAATCCACCATAGAACAAAGGCTAACAGCACAGGAATCTAAAATGCTTATGTCTTGCGCCATACGGAGGACTTGGACAACCGGGGTAGGAGAAATAACCTCCCGGTCAGAGGGATACCGGAGGCACAGGGAGAGATGGAAAACACCAAGGGCACGCTCCAGACTCTCTTCAACAACATACTGCAACGCGCTCCAGACACCCCGATCCTGCTGGATAGGGCGCACAGAGCGGCAAGACCTAGGGGCCTACTGCAGGAAACTCCCAGGGATAGTGTGCAGAATTCACTACTACACCCTAAAGGAAGATATTCTGCGCTTGGCAAGGAATTCCCCTGCCTTGAATCTCCCAGACGCGCGTATCCAGATTCTACCAGATCTAGCATGGCAGACGCTTCAGGGGAGGAGGGCCCTCAGGCCGATTACACAGGCGTTGCAGGCCAAAGAGATCAGATACCATTGGAGATTCCCTTTCTCCCTCCACGCCTCACATCAGGGAACACAGAGTAGTATCACATCTATTCAAGATGTTCCAGAATTCCTGAAAGCATTCGACCTTCCTCAGGTGGAGATCCGCGACTGGTATGGCCATGGGGCACAAGAGGTGGCACAGGGCTTGCCACAGCGGCTCAGATGGAGAGGAACATTGGAGAAGAAGAGGACACCGCGGAAACGACCACCACTCACTAGGGTCTCTGGACCTCGGCAGGCGGGACATGACACTTACCTTCTTGCATCCTTCTGCTATGGGACTGCTCGCTCATGACCCAGCTGCACAGCCTTTATTACAAGCGGGACCGGTTACAACTCAGGGGCATCGCGCTTTCCGACTGGGCCGCTCAGGGACAGTCAAGAACCTCTGCAGCTCTGGAGCCTCCTGGCACATCCTGTTGTCTGCACTGGACTGACGCAAGTATCGCACCCCACACTACCAGACTCATTTTAGGGGGATAGTACTGAGAGACGCACACTGTCTGAACTGTGGGACTTACTAGTGACTCTGGGCGGTTGGGTCTGGGGGAGTGGGGTCACAATCGGAGAGAACCGGGGGGGTGGTGGGGGGAGTGTTTACTTTGCTTAGATCACAACACGAACACAAAGAAGGACAGGGAGAGGGGGGAAGAAGGAGGGGGGAAGGAAAGAAAGCAACAAAAAAATAAAAAATAAATAAATAAATAAATAATAATAAAAAATACAAAAAAAAAAAAAAAAAAAAAAAAAAAAATAGGCGTGGGAGACACTCTTCCTATACTTAACACAATTAGTGTCAGCCAGGGTGAGCATCCCAGAGAGGAGATTTGAGAGGGGAACATCATACGCACAGCTCTAGGATGCTTTCAAATTGTTATTCTTATGTATGCTAGTATCAATCGTCCTTTATTTGTCGTAAGTCAGGTTTGCTCCTCTCGACCAAGTACGGTAATACAAAAAGGAGGAAAACAAAACACACAAAACAAAAAAAAAACAAAAAAAAAGGGGAAGGGGGGCACATTATGTATAGAGAACGTTAATCATACTCTCAGACCAAGAGAAAGGAGACACCATGCCCCGACCCGCACGCAATACACATAGCGCTTGGCGGCGCAAGATTATAAGTGCCTTTAAGAACGGTGAGTGAGAACAGTGACACTGTTCAACATATTCAAAAGTATTCATACCGGATAAACACGATTTATCAGTTGCAATCTCACACTACATCAGCTACCACCCCGAGTAACCGACTGAGGTTACGAGCGGTGCAAGACACCTACCGATCCGGTGGGGCATCTACCCCCGATTCCGATTTATTCCACTGACGGGGAGATAATACACACCGACTCCTTTACTGGCTAGGGACGACACTAGCTAGAATAAGAACATCCGAGTCACATACACGAAGTTTATTTTCTATGTTCCTTATTTTTTTATTTATTATTTGGTTAGTTGTATTGTTATTCAGGTTTTCCACACTCGTATTTGGGCCCTCTGTAGCCCAGTTATAAAAGTCGTATACATCGCTAGGCACCTACATCTCAAGCTCACCAAGCTACACACCAGGACAGGGAAGGATTTTTAATGGCTTCACACGGAACCACTTCTTCTATTACTGATACAATTAAAATTCTATCATACAATGTCCGGGGACTTAATTCACCAGAGAAAAGAAATATGGCCCTTAGGGATTTCTATAAATCACAGGCAGACATTGTTTATGTGCAGGAGATGCACTTCAAGGGATCCGCAGCCCCAAAGCTAGCCAATAGACGGTTTCCTCATGTATATTACAATAATTACTCCCTCAGCAAGTCTCGCGGGGTGGCGATCCTGATAGGGGCTAAGATACCGTTCGTGTATCACCAACACCACGCAGACACGTCGGGCCGATATGTCACCGTACAGGGACAGATTGGCAATGCTCCAATCATTCTGGCTAATGTCTACCTGCCAAATACACGCCAGTGTCATACATTCCGCAAAATTCTAAGCAAAATCCAGCGGCTCACACAAGGAACTTTAATTATAGGGGGCGACTTTAACTTATCTATTGACGCTCAGCAGGACAGTACGTCACGCCACCCAAATCATCTCCAACCCCTCAGATCCCAGCTAAAGAGGCTTCTTCATACTCACCAATTAGTAGACTGCTGGAGGGCGCTACACCCTTCCACGAAAGACTACACCTTTTACTCCAAATCAGCCTCCACATACACGAGAATAGACTTCTTTCTCAACACGCATAGGGATCTTTCCCTGATCACCTCGGCAACGATCAGAAACATTACGTGGTCCGATCATGCCCCAATCTACATACAATTTAAAATCCCTTCTCTAGCACAGGGGAAAGGCCAGTGGAAACTCAATACTACCATCCTCCATGATGAAAGGGCGAAACAAGCAATCGCCCAAACCATAGCGCACTACTTCCGTGAGAACAATACACAAGACACTCCTTTCCTTCAATAGGAGGCACATAAGTGTATGGTGCAAGGGGAACTAATAAAATGGGGATCCTATCTTAAAAAAACTAAAATTAAGAGGCAGACTGAACTATTAACGGCCATTCAACACTTGGAAGAAACACATAAGAAATCAATGTCCGATCTGGACTACCGTAAGCTCCTATCCCTAAGGTCTGAACTGACGCTCTTCCTACAGTCCAAGGCCAAAAAATCGATGGCATGGACCAAACAATTGTTGTTCTCACACGGAAATAGATGCGGCAAACTTTTAGCTAACGTACTAAAGCACAGACAAGAGAAAACATATATCCCCCAAATTAGGACCTCTACCAACACTTTAGTACACACCAATGAGGAGATGGCAAACACATTTTGTGAGTTCTACCACTCATTATACAATTTAACCAAGACCACACAAGACAGGGAGATAATCAAGACATACCTATCGGATAAATTTGACAAAGTCCTTCCTCAGTCTCTATCTCAATCATTGGACGAACCTTTCACCCTTCTCGAGCTCACCAACGCAGTGAAATCCACCCCATCAGGCAAAAGTCCCGGCCCAGACGGCTTCTCAGCCACCTACTATAAAACGTATCTAAAAGAAATAGGCCAACACTTACTAGACGCAATCAACTCAGTAGGCCCAGAAAAAACCATCCCCATGCCGAGTCTAGAAGCCAACATTACTCTGCTCCACAAACCCGGGAAGAACCCGGACTTGTGTGGTAGTTATAGACCGATCTCGTTGAGCAATGTCGACCTGAAAATTTTTACGAAAATGCTAGCAATCAGACTGAAGCCTCTGCTCTCGACATTGATTCACCCAGATCAAGCTGGCTTCGTTCCCTCTAGGGAGGCTAAAGATAATACTACCAAAATCATCAACCTGATCCACGGAGCACATAGTACTAGGGTCCCTTCCATCCTGCTCGCCATAGACGCGGAGAAGGCGTTCGACAGGGTGGATTGGAGTTTCCTCCTGTCGACGCTGGAAACGCTTGGAGACAGATGGATGCAGTGGATCCAAGCTATTTACTCTCATCCCACAGCTAGACTCAAAATCAACGGGATACTCTCAGATCCTTTCCGTATATCAAACGGCACAAGACAGGGCTGTCCGCTGTCCCCGTTATTATTCATCCTAAGCCTGGAACCCTTACTAAATGCGGTGAGGAAAGAGTCGAGGGTATTAGACAGTACTACCATGCAATTCACTTGGGTCGCATCCTAGACTGGTCCCACCAAAGTGAATCCAAACCATGGGTCGCCATAGAACAATCCCTAATAGGCGAGTCACTAAGGGCAATACCGTGGCTGGTGCCATACAAATCCGTCTGGACTCCCGCAATACATCCGACGGTGACGCCAACCACACAGGTTTGGGGGAAACTATATCAGTACCCGGACATAGAGCCAACCCCGTCCCCAGACTACCCTATCACGAAAAATCCCTTATTCATACCAGGTAAAGGAGGCTACCAATTAACACCTGTAAAGGGCGATAGAAAGGAAGTGGATATAACACTTAAGAAGGTGATGCAAGAAGGGGGATTAGTACCAATTACTCACTTGACCGAGGGGAAGATCCCTACTCTCATGCAGAGATTCCAATATGCACAATTACGACACTTCCTTACCACGCAAGGTTTGTCCCAATGGGCTCCCAGGGAAAGGACTAAATTTGAAAAATTATGTGCAGGAGTTAAGCCGCCTCCCAGACAGACTTCCCTCTGCTACAGACTCCAACAAACTCAGGCGTTCACACAATTACCATATTTCACTAGACTGTGGAGCGAACACATAAACGGTGAACTCGGGGAGGGTGACTGGACGAATATATTTCGAACTATCTTTCATTCACATTCCAGTGTACCCCTACAGGAGATAAACTATAAATTTATTGCTAAATGGTATATCACTCCGGCGGATATACACAAATTTGCTCCCGACTCCTCCCCTCTGTGTTGGAGATGTCATTCTCATAAGGGCACCTTTCAGCATATTTGGTGGTCATGTGGGGAGGTGTCAGCCTTCTGGAGGGAAGTTTGGAATACGGTGAATCTGGTAACCGAAATGTCTATTCCCTTCAACCCAGAGACACTTCTCTTACTTCACCTGAAAACCCCACTCCGCCAATTTAAATACTCCCTCACCTTTTTCATGCTGACAGCAGCCAAAAGCACAATTGTACACAAATGGAAATCAACGTCCCTGCCGACCACGCAGGACTGGTACACAAAAATAGAATACTTTCATGAGATGGAGGAACTGAGATGGGGATCCCTAGATCAGTACCATAGGTACCATAACATTTGGCAACCTTGGAAATACTTTTTTTGGGGAAAACTCGCACAAGGCCAAACACACATTATCCCATCTCGACCCAAGGGGGATCCTGTGGACCGGATTGGGGCCGGAGCAGTATAGGAGACCAGGAAGAGGGAGAGGAGACGGGCATCAGCCCCCCTTTCCCATAGGTCCAATTGTGAACAACTTGAGATATCAAGGGAAGGGAGACCTGCCAAACAAACACAGCACAAACCCTACAACTACATCTGGCCCACATGGGGGTTTGGGAGAAGTGGGAGGGGTGCGGGATAACTAGCTATGCAAATACCTTACAGATAGGCCAAATATCAATGCTCTGGTGATTGTACTTCAGATTTATATGTATGCGATGTTGCGATACTATATGTTATTGGTTATTCTTTCTTTTTTCTGTTTTGTATTGTAACTCATGATTATATTCGCACGATGTATTGTACTGGCTAAGGAGTTACAACGGAAAAAGCTAATAAAAAAAAATAATTAAATTTGAAAAAATTATATACTGATTTAAATGTGTTTTAACTGTATTTTGATATACATTTAAATTAAAATACAATTAGAATGACGTTATAAATACATATATACATTTTAAAATATATTTATATAATATTTGTTTTCAAAAGTTACAAGTCAAATATAAGGCTTGCATTTTAGTTTTTTCACATTGAAATTTGCCAGATTGGTAATGTTGCCTTTGAGACCATATGGTAGCCCAGGAATGAGAATTACCCCCATGATGGCATACCATTTGCAAAACTAGACAACCCAAGGTATTGCAAATGGGGTATGTCCAGTATTTTTTAGTAGCCACACACTGGCCAAAATTAGCGTCCAAATTAGTTTTTTGCATTTTTTACCCACAAACAAATATGAACGCTAACGCTAAATATGAGCGGCGGGTGGGGACCACAAAAATTAAAGTGACTAGGGGTACCCATGCCCCTAGTCACTCCCACCCCAATAAAAATACCCTACCCACCCCCTCACCCTAATAATAAACTAACAAACCCTCACTATTATTAGGGTGAGGGGGGTAGGTAAGGTATTTTATTGAGGGGGAGTGAATAGGGGTTTAGGGACCCTTAGTCACTTTATTTTTTGTGGTCCCCACCCACCACTCATGGGTGGGGACCTGGGGGGACATTAGGTCCCCCCCATTATTTATTTATTTAGGGTCCCCATCCGCTGCTCATGGGTGGGGACCAGAGGGGATATTTGGTCCCCCCTTTTAATTAGTTAGGGTCCCCACCTGCTGATCATTGTTGGGGGCATGGGGGGACATTAGTTCCCTCCCTTTATTTAATTATTTAAGGTCCCCACGTGCCGGTCACAGGTGGGAACCTGGGCGGGACATTAGGTCGTCCCCATTATTTATTTAATTAGGGTCCCCATCCCCACTCATAAGTGGGTACCAGGGGAGACATTAGATCCCCCCTATTATATATTTAATTACTGTCCCCAACCACCGGTCATGGGTGGGGACCTGGGGGGGACATTAGGTCCCCTTCATTATTTATTTAATTAGGGTCCCCACCCGACTGTCATGGGTGGGAACCTAGGGGGAACATTAGGTACCCCCCCTTTATTTAATTAGGGTCCCCACCCGCCGATCATGGGTGGGGACCCCTTTAATTAATTATGGTTCCTACCTGCGGGACACGGAGGGGTCTGGGGGGACACTAATAGCTCCCACCCACGAGTCATTATTTGTATCCCCCCTTATTGCACTAGTAGTTTTAAATGACAGCGAGCAGCCATTGGCATGTGGGAGGATTTAAACTCCCTTTTATTAATATGTGGGTCATAGTGTCCCCTTATACTGATTTATATCCAGTTTTAAATAACAGTGAGCAGCCAAGCGGTATTCCGCGAGTAGGGGCATGCAAGAGCATTTAACCTCCCTTTTTTAATGCGGGTGGGAGGAGGGTAGGAATGGTTAATTTTTATTACAAGGAGGGAGCTAGTAGCGCTTCCGGCTCCCTCCTTCCTTCCTTTTTTTTTGCACAGTGTTAGTCTATTAAACAAAAGAACTGAAACAAAAATGAATGCACTTAGTATTTGTCATTTAGTTTCGTTTATAATTCGTATGTAGGACTAAAACGTATTCGTACGAAAACGTATGCACATGTCTATTTAATATACAAATATTTGATGTGACATGAAAGCCCTGTTTCTCCTGAACAAAATTATATATGATAAGTGTGGGTGCACGTAATATGAAGGAGGTGAATTACACCTGGACAGAAATATAGCACAAATTCAAGGTTTTGTTTACATTTTGTTTTGATCACAACTTGTACAACTGCCTCAGTCCTTAAGGGGTTAAAAGAGAAATATAAATATAAGTTGCAAACTTTTTCAGAACATTTTAAAGTGCATTTACTCTTTTGGCTATGAATATGTTTGTTATTATTTCAGATTGCAAATTACCTCTTTAAGTAATCTCTTTTAATAGTAAATTTCCTTTTCATGCTTGTTGACTTATAATTTTTATTAAAGCTAATATAATTTTAAAAGTCAGCTGAAGTTGATTTTTTTTTCAGTTTAGAAATCTATTTGATATTTATATCATTTTTCATTTTAACAACTAGTGAGTGATTTATTACATTGTCTCTTGCCAAATAATGATACACGAGGTGTTATATGTCATTAACTAAGCAGCCCACAGGTTCGGGATAAATATCTTAGCTGTCATAATTCTAACTTAAAGCAAAATATCACATTAATATTTTCATGCCCTAAACACATCTGATATTCACTGTAAACCCAAGGTGCTTTCCTGCAAAATGAAGAGCTGTAGTTAAAGCCAAACACAGACTAGTTACTCTCATTGCCCATGTAGCTGATTTAGACGTGGCATTGATTTTCATTTTACCAGTATATCTGACTGTCTATCTGTAACATATGATGGCCAGATCATATTTTCAAATTCCATGTCACAATGTGCAATAAGGGAAAGTTATGGTTGGTAGAAACGTAGAAAGATAGAATGTGATGGCAGATAAGAACCATTCGGCCCATCTAGTCTGCCCAATTTTCAAAATACTTGCATTAGTCCCTGGCCTTATCTTATAGTTAGGATAGCCTTATGCCTATCCAACGCATGCTTAAACTCATTTACTGTGCTAACCTCTACCACTTCAGATGGAGGGCTATTCCATGCATCCACGACCCTCTCAGTAAAGTAATACTTCCTGGTACTGTTTTTTAATCTTTGCCCTTCTAATTTAATGTCCTCTTGTTGTGGTAGTATTTCTTATTTTTAAATATAGTCTCCTCCTTTACTGTGTTGATTCCCTTTATGTATTTAAAATGTTTCTATCGTATCCCCTCTGTCTCGTCTTTCCTCCAAACTTTACATGTAAAGTTCCTTTAACCTTTCCTTGTAAGTTTTAACCTGCAATTTATGAACCAGTTTAATAGTCCTTCTCTGAACTCTCTCTAAAGTATCAATATCCCTCCGGAGATACGGTCTCCAGTACTGTGAAAAAATACTCCAAGTGAGGTCTCACCAATGTTCTGTACAATGACATGAGAACTTCCCTCTTTCTACTGCCTCTCCCTACTAACACCTCTCCCTATACAACCAATCTTCTGCTGCTCTATTACATTGTCTGCCTTCCTTTAAGTCATCAGAAATATTCACCCCTAAATCCCTTTCCTCAGACTTTGAGGTTAGGACTCTATCAAATATTCTGTACTCTGCCCTTGGGTTTTTATGTCCAAGATGCATTATCTTGCACTTATCCAAACTCTGACCTTTTTTCTAGTTTACCTAAATCATTTGGCTTATACCTCCTGGAACATCAACCCATTTACATATCTTAGTATCATCAGCAAAAACACATACCTTAACCATCTTAGACCTTCTGCAATGTTACTAATAAAAATAGTAAAGAGAATGGGTCCAAGTACAGATCCCTGAGGTACCCCACTGGTAACTAGACCTTGATTCGAATAAACTCCATTGACTACAACCCTCTGTTACCTGTCACTCAGCCACTGCCTTACCCATTTAACAATATTGGTATCCAAACTTAAAGATTGCAGTTTATTGATAAGCTTACTATGTGCAACAGTGTCAAAAGCCTTACTGAAATCTAGGTAAGCAATGTTTACTGCACCAACTTGATCTATTATTTTAGTTACCCAATCAAAAAAATCAATAAGATTAGTTTGGCATGATTTCCCTGAAGTAAACCCATGTTGTCTCTGATCTTGAAATCCATGTGATTTTAGATGTTCAACAACCCTGTCCTTTAACATGATTTCCATGACTTTCCCCACTACTGAAGTAAGGCTTACTGGCCTATAATTGTCTGACTCCTCCCTACTACCTTTCTTGTGAAAGGGCACAATATTCGCTAACTTCCAATCTTCTGGGGCTACTCCTGTTAACAATGATTGGTTAAATAAATCTGTTAATGGTTTTGCTAGTACACCACTAAGCTCTTTTAATAACTTTGGGTGTATTCCATCAGGTCCCATTGACTTATTTTTCTTTACTTTTGACAGTTGAAATAGATCTGTAAACTCTCTGTAAACTCACATGTAACAAATTACTCATTTGTCCTTTTTCCTAACTGAGGCCCCTTTCCTTCATTTTCATCTAAAAATACTGAACAAAAATATTAATTGAGGCAGTCAGCTAGATCTTTATTCTTTTCTACACACATTCCTTCATTTGTTTATAATCTAACTAATCCTTGTTTTACTTTCCCTTTCTCATTTATGTATCTAAAAATGTTTTTTCCCTCCTTTTTTATTGACTGTGCTATTTTCTCTTGTGTGTGTGATTTGGAAGCTCTTATAACTTGCTTAGCCTCTTTCTGCCTAATCTTATAGAACTGTCTATCCTCCTCATTTTTTTACAATTACTAAATGCTAACTTTTAGATTTTTACTATTTTGGCCACATCTGCGGAGTACCACAGTGGTTTCTTGAATTTTTTGCTTTTACTGGCAAGCCTAATGCAATTTTATGTTGCCTTCACCACAGCAACTTTTAAATAATCCCATTTCTCTTGGACTCCATTTAAATTGCTCCAGTCTGATAATGACTCCTTTACACATATTCTAATTTTAAAAAAAGTCTGTTTT